GCGATCTCGTGGTATAGAAAGAATACCGAGATCATGTCAGGATACAAGCTTGATTACAAAGCGTAACCGAATTCGCGCGTGGTCACAATCAAAGTAAGTATAGTGGATATTTTTAGCACACTTAAACAAAGAGCACATTAAAACAGTCACTGGTACAATTGGTTATAATAATCATTGTTTTCAATAAACCAATCATGTTCATGTGATAAAAGCGAGTCACTACAAAGTCAACTAGCAACGACTGCGGAAAAAGCTGAATAAGAAGGAAATATCAAACAACCATGCAACATGACGAAGAAATTGGCAGACAAATATAGTAAAGAAAAGAGACCAGTTAAGGACAAACAAGGAGAAACAATCACTTAGATTCAGGAACAAAGGGATGGATGGGTAGAATACTTAGAGGAACTCTTGAATAAACCAGCTCCATTGAATCCACCGGACACCGAAACACCACACACAGACATTCCTATAGATGTCACCCCAACAAAAACAGAACGAATAGCGGTGGTCATCAGACAAGTCAACAGCGAGAAAGCAGTAGGACCTGACAATACATCAATCGAAGCACTGAGGCCACATATAGATCCAACTACAATACATGTTCTACATTCTATTCAGAAAGACTTCAAAGGGAAAACAAGTAGCACCGACGGACTGGAAAGATGGATATCTCATCAAGATTCCAAAGAAGAGAGATCTGAGCAAATGGGAAAACTATGGAGGAATCACACTTCTTTCAGTACATGTGGAAGTTTTCAACAAAGCGTCACTGAACTAGATGTCAGATTTAGTAGACGCCCAACTTCGATATCAACAGACCGGTTTCTGTCAGAATCGGTCATGCACAGACCAAATAGAGACACTACGGATAATCGATAAACTACCGATTGAATGGAACTCGTCACTGTACATCAACATCATTGACTATGAGAAATCGTTTGACAGTGTGGAGGGAGGACTTCATGGAAGTGTCTTCGACAATATGGTGTGAATAGCAGAGAAGGTTGTCACATCATACAGAATTTATTTGACGGACTACACTGCGAATTTGTACATGGATGACGGCCTCCAGATGTATTTCATTTATCAGCTAATGCTGCTTATTCTCTCCCTTCCTCTTTCTTCTGACAATGAACTGGATTATGAAGACCCCAACATCTGACGGATAGCACGGAATACAATGAACACCTTGAAATCAACTAAACGGAATACACCCATTAAGATATTAAATGTGAAAGATTAGTTCAGTGAAGAGTTCTCTTTTCGGCGAATTCATTTTCAAGGCTGTACATTCGCAATGTATACACTTATTTTTACAGGATGATAATAATATTGATAATAACGTTCTGTTAGTCATGTTGACAGTAATTTTAAATAATCAATGTTATGAAAAAAATTTAAAAACAAGGAAATTTCAATAGTCGTTTGATTGTTAATGGCATAAGTATTCATCAATAGATAGGGAAACGGATAGCTCAGTATGAATACTAATGCCATCAGCAATCAAAAGATTACTGAACTTCCCTTTTTCAAGAGAATATTTTAAAAATAACTGTCTATTTAACCTCATTGTCAACATGCCCAACAGAACGTTCCAGAGCTCCCAACATTGGGGAAAATTTGGCATATTTTGGGGAAATTCTGTGGAAATTTTGGGGAACCTTCCCCAACGTTTGATTATTTAAACTTACTGTCAACATGACTAACAGAACGTTATTATCAATATTATTATCATCCTGTTAAAATAAGTGTATACATTGCGATTGTACAGCCTTGAAAATGAATTCGCCGAAAAGAGAACTCTTCACTGAACTAATCTTTCTCATGAAATCAACTAGACGATTTAGACTTCGCAGATGAAAACAACCAGAGTAGCATCAGCCTCTGCATAAGTAGGCCTTAATATACACAATGGAAAAATTAAGATCGTGAAACGGAGAAGAACAACCCAATCACACTCTGGGAGAGGTGAAAACTTTCATGTAACTGACCAGTCAGCATTATCAATGAGCACGGAGGATCGGATGCAGACGGGAAGGAGAGGATTGGTATTTTATATGATATATTTACAGTTAGATTAACAGTCAGATTTGTATAAACTGAAGTGAGTCACCTTTAACAATAATAATAAAAATTAATAACTTATTATGTAAACACATATTTACAATATTATACAATTAAGCTTATGATCCTTCTTAAGATATGATGAGTGCATATCACACACGATTGGAATAAGATCAATTTTTCCATGTCATTCGCTTTCCAATTGCTTAATCTGTTTCTCGACAAATCAATATGAAATGTGTTTTTCGCCACTCGCATGCATGAACACAAACATGTATAATACATCTTTTACCATTCATTTTTGTCACTCATCTACAGTATGCTATGCGTCGACCATAGGCAATTACTCCGAGTTCGCACACCTAGGGTTTAGGATTTGGTAAACAATTAATCACTTACAAATTCGTTTAGTTTTCTTGCATGTTTAGTAAGTACTCATGAAAACGTTCATTTCAGTCGAAAAGGACTCTGTGAGCACAACTGAAGTTATTGTACTTGTAATTTGTAATAGGAGCGGACTAATAATGTATAAAGCAGTTATTATGTAGTACAAATACCTCATACTGTTTCTTCCGTTTTTTTCGTAAACACTCATCCATGAAATAGTTTTGCATATTAGTTTATTGCATAAACTACTATAATATATACATATTTATATAATTTATATATTTTTCCATTAAAATAACACCAGGTTCTTCTGCGTATTATTTTCATACTTTCAGTTTTCGTAAAAAATCTGCATTTACATTAGTATTTCCTTCGGACACGTCAGGTAGAGAGGATTAGCTGTGTCAAAATTATTAAGCAAGACATGATATCTTAATAATTTACGTAAATATTTCTGTCATTTAAACTTCATCCTATTTGTACATTTATGATTGCTGCTTGCTAGTTAAATTATTTTTGTTGTGATCTGTAATGCTGATTTCCCTAGATGCGATACACTTTAAAGTTGATTATCATTCATAAATACTTCATGCTTCTTTTGTTAGAGCTTGTCTCTGTTGTGACTTTAAGTCCGACTAGTTATAACGTAATTTATTTGCCAATCGAAATACGACTTATTCACTCTTGTACAGTATCAAACCAATGACGTTCGACCGGTCTGATCAGCCTAGCGTCCTTATTGGTCTTCTGCTCGCCTAGAACGTACAGTTGTGTTCGGAACGCCAATAACAGCTTCCGCTATGCGAATCATTTATTTCAGACATACTTGGTGTTTATATACCAGCCAAACAAACCGCATCGTACCATAAAATACAAAATAAAGCCTAAAGTGGCTGTGAACGTGGGATCCAGTAATTAAAAAGCTGAGTATAATTTAGAACAGTAAACTGTATAATAATACATTATCGGTCAAAATGAAGCTTATAATAAGATGAATATGAATATACACAATCTAGTTACTGAATAATCATATAACAAGAATATATAGGTAATATTAGTCCACTAATAGTTCTTAGAAGTTACTCGTAATTTCATCTTCACTAGGATATAACATTCTCGACTTCATTATTTTTAATCTACTATGTCGACTAATAAACCGGTTATACATATTTTTTGTGTTGACATCTCAATATTTCTCCGTACGATATAATCTAAGAAAATTTGTGTATATATCATGTTTAAAGATAATATTTCATCATTGTAAATTTTTTGATTAAGTGGTCTTGATAAACATGTAAACACACAGTGACCGTAAATAACATTTATATAACTGTTCGTCGTTTATTCCAATGTTATTATTATTATTAATGGCTTTATTCAATATTATATTTTGGTACAATATAGAATTCTCAACACAGGGTACTTCAACAAGTTACTTACGCAAAAAAACAGTGACAAAGACAAAACAATGTTTTTTAAATAAAACAAGAACAAATATTGATGCAGAATAGTATGAATTCATAATATTTCGAGGTTTCTCGTCAGCTGCTTACAACCAAATATGCAATAGAATTTTTACATTGAGATAGTGTGAAACACTTGAAATATATATATATTATATATATATGCTGGAACAGGTCAGAGGTTAAAAAAGGAATTAATTCAGGGTGGGTGGTGTAATAGTTTAGTGAAGTTCATTAATTGTGTGAGAATTTTAGAGATTAATGGAATTGAATAATGATAAGATAGGTTACGTAATAATAATGAAATAGAATTTGAAGAGTTAACATAATTTAAGAGGATCAGGTGGTGGAAATGTGTGAATAAAAAATTAGTTTAAGAATCAGGTAATAGGGGAGGAGTATAACACAAAATAAATATTTTAAAGTGAATAAATTATATATATATATTTATTATTGTAATCCAGTTATTTACACTCATTTATGTCAAGTGTTTTACACTATCTCAATGTAAAAATTCTATTGCATATTTGGTTGTAAGCAGCTGACGAGAAACCTCGAAATATTATGAATTCATACTATTCTGCATCAATACTTGTTCTTGCTTTATCTAAATTCATTAAGGGAACTACTTGCATGAAATTTACAAAAAAACGTTAAAAAATAACCCGAAAAACTGTACAACTTTTCAAATTAAAGACATGTTAAGAATACAGGTTATTGACTAGGTTAACTCCAACAACCTGCTCGTCACAGAGTATATTTGCTAGGTATGGTATTATAGAACTTTTATACTATTGCTTGTGTGCACGGATTTTAATGTAATTACATCTCGTTCTACCAGAGGATATACACGGAGAAAGATAAGAGTGAAGGGGATGGTTAGTAACTGGTAAAATACTTCTGAACTGTTGTCATGCATGATATAGTTTTTCTGCTTGTTATTTACTTATCTACTGTGTAATCCACTAAAATTCTCTAACACGAATTCTGTATAAAACCCCAAATTTTAAGTATCTAAGCCGTACGAAGATTTTATAGGCTTGAAAATTATTCTAGATTTCCTGTTAAGTATATGGAATGACAGTTAATATATATGGCTTGTGAGATGAATGGCTGCTCTAATTTTATATTTCAAATATTTCATTATTAGGTTTTTTACAATAAACCCACAAACTATACAATTCTGCTGGTCTCGAATATCTGAATTCTTTAGTCATAGTAGTTGGGTTTCGTTTAAGTACTATTCCTTTTTACAAAATTTAATTCTATCCAAGTAAAACAGAGATGTGATTTTTCTAAAAAGAAATAATATAATAGCTTCCCATTGCCAATATAAAATCATGAATGTTTAAATGTTGCAATAAATTTCATTTAAAAATAATTATAGGAAATATAAATATAACAGTTGGTAAAAGCAAATAAAATGTTACCTGAGAAATGTGTGTTTATTCTTTTCATAAACAATTAGAACATAAAGAAATCTGGTTAGGAAGAGCATCACGACAAGGACAAAAACGAGAAAATACATCAGATCCATTAAGAGTCCCTGAGGCAGTACAGTCAAACCATTCATGATTAGCTTGAAAAACACATGAACTTGTTGCATCGTCCCAATATGGTGCCATTGGACTAGTTGTGTAAGTAATATTAGGACAAGAAACACCGAGATGTTGAAGGTTTAGTCGATGATTAACACTTGGAAAATGTTCTGGGGAACAGCGAAATGTATAAAGATAAGACAAGTTTTGCGGAGGCGTAGCGTGAATAGAACGGTAGTAAAGGTAGCCATTCTGTATTTGAGGATGTTGTGTTTTGTTGCGAATGAAGTAAGCAGAAATATTGGAAGGCAGTAATAAAGTATGTTCTGAAGTTCCCAGATTCATACACACATCTGCACAAGATTTACCACGAGATCCCAAAACTATCTTTAAACTTGATGCTGGAGGCCATGAAACGGTAGTGCTAGGGACATCTAGGTAGTTAAATTTAGGAGGCGTATCAGCTTTGGCTATCGGCAATGGAGACTGGATCAAATTTTTGTAAAAAGGTGCAGCGCAGATATTTTGTCGTGTCAAATAAGCATTCAGACGTTCGAGAAAACCCCATGGAGTAAATTCGTGCGGACGATAACTTCCACTCTGAAAATCAATAAACAGTTAGTAATTAAATATTCAAAGGGAATGAATAACTCAATTGTTTGAATATACAGATGCAATGTCTCCAAAATGAAAGGTTCAGTGTTATATGATTACCTATTCTCAAGTATTACAATCTCGTCTATGTTTAAATGTTTCTTTAGTCTTTTTCTATTAGTATTTTACTACTATGATATCACATAACTATGATTGTTTAGTTTTTAACAATTTGAAATCCCTTTTAACTGTTTGATTACTTAAAGTTACTAATAATTCACTTTCTAGAATAATATTAATTGTAAATCTGTAAACATTCAAATAAACACTAATAAAATCTCACTTTAATAGTTGTCAGAATACGTTTAGCAGTTTGACGTATCTGTGTTTCATTACCCATATCAATTAAATAAGAATAAGGTTCACTGATATGATTTTCAATATACGGATGTTGACTAGTAAGCTAAAGAAATTTAAAACAAAGCAAAAAAAACAGTAAAATATTAAATGATATTAAATTAAATTTACTACTTACCAAGAGAATAACATGAATGTAGTAAATAATCTATTATTGAAAAAGTAAATTGTGATTTTAAATGTTTATAACAGATTTTAAATAATAATTAAATTATAATACAAAAAGTAGAAAGATACGATTATATCTTTATCAGAAGGAGTTTTGTGGAGATTTTAGGAATTTCACTGATTGAAATCCTGGAGTTCTAGTGAGAAGCCGTTAACAGTGGAGTTCAACCAGGTCTGTTGTGAGATATAAACTCACTGAAGACAATGATGTACGATGGCGCAACTTTGTGGATTGGTTGAAGTTAGACATTAACACCATTGGATGCCGGCTCAGTGGTCTAGTTGGTTACGCGCCTGGCGCGAGACTGATAGGTCCTGGGTTCGAATCTCGCGCGGGATATGAGACCGTGGATGCGCACTGCTGAGGAGTCCCATGCTAGGATGAAACAGCCGTCCAGTGCTTCCAGGTTTTCCATGGTGGTCTAGCTTCAACTGACTCATGATTTCAATCAGTGATATTATATCTTTGTCTGTACATGTAGCTTCAAATTGCTACAACTGAATTTGATGATGATTGTTATGAAAATGTCAGCATAGTAATAAATTTAATAAATACATAAATAAAACAAAAAGTGTTGTAATTCATAGTACACATTATTAATCAATTCAAAGTATTAATATAAGAGAGAGAATTCCAAACTAATTTTAAGTTAATAATCTTAAAGAATAAAATTTATAAATTTAAGTGATTAATTTAAACTTCTCAAACATTCGTTGCTAATACTCAATATTTGAATAAGTGATTTACTTTCATGAAAGTGTATAAGGATAATTTATTCTGCAATAGGATAGTCGATTAAATACCACTTCAGAACAAGAACAGATATTTAGTTTTGAATAGCCTAATATTTGAACGCCAATTAGATTGGATGATATCGTTGATGAGCTGATCACTTTTGTGGCCTTGAATCTGACTAATTAGACAGTATGTTGATCGATATATATATATATATATATATATATATATATATATCGCCAATCCTAGTGTATAATTATAAACTTGGATCGCATTTATGAATAACTGAATTAAATCAGTCAATTACGAAAATAAAGTTTTGAATATGTATATTTTATACACACATTTATCTAGACAGACAATCAGAGAAACTAAGCGAATAGAAGTGAGCGAAGCGAAATAAAATGATGCTCGGCGGGAAAAGCATATCAATCAACTCGATTTAATTAAGCATGAATCGATATTTATAGTCACGTACACAAAGAAACAATAAGTTACAGTCATGTTATGAGTAAAATTTATAAACAAAATACACACATATACCCTCATATAAATACAAAGTTGATAAGTAAATAATTGACAAGGTCAAAATGTGACTCAACTAAAATGAATAGATTGAAAACTAGAATAACTTATATGAGCTACAAGTTTACTATACTTGATATAGAGAAAAATTTGACATTTTCATAATGAATCTATTCAATGAATTATTGAAATTATTAAAAATGTTACTCAAATATCATGATAGACTTTATAGTATGATTATCATTAGGTTCTGTTTATTAAATTTGGTCAGTAAATAATGTAAAATTCTTTAAGAATTATGATTATTGTTTTCTTTCTTTTTTTCATTTGTCTAACAAAGAGAATCTACATTATTGTATTCAAATATACAAAATTGACAATTCAATAAGTAGATATCATATTCTCTACTTTATTTGAAAAGAAAATTCATATTTCGTTTAATTAAGGTGAAATGAGTTCAATGATCTATGAACAATATAAAAGACAAAAGAAAACTATCTACTTCTGAAAGGGTGAGACTACAGTTTATGTATGAACCAATCACATATAAGATTATAGGTCTCGGATATTGGCGCGAAATTTATTCATTCATTTGGGTAAATATAGTTTTGACATTATAGCTGATGTCAGTTCGTGATGAAAACCCGAAATCTAATTCCTAACCTTCATCATCAACTGTAAATTATAATTTCAATTCCTCACACAGCTTAATAACCCTCATTTGGCTCTAGTTGTTAAGTGAACATGCTCAAGGTCAGTCTGGCGTCGTTCAAAGGTCGTCCATAAATTATAATCGCACCTCTGAAAGATACTAATCTAATTTTAAAAAATATCCACAATCACTTCAATATAAAAAAGTTGAAAACACGAAGTTCAGAGAAGGGATCTCTTTTTGTTAAAGTATTAATTCCATGAGGAAATATGAATATGAATAACAAAGATGACGTAATAGGAAGATTATATACGAATAATAACAATTTTACAGCTTGATAATAAATTCGTTGAAAAGAGATCCCTTCTCTGAACTTTTTGTTTTAATGTTTAAATGGGAACTTCAATATAACAATAATTTTCATAAATATTTATACTTAAATTAAATATAATTCAATATTTACAAGAATATTTGTCAAGATTAGAATAAATAGGTTGATAGAAATTGGGCACCGATTATAGAGAAGGTATTCTATGTGAAAACGATAATTGAAATAATCTCAGCGACTGAAAGTTAAAATAATTCCAACGTTTCGTCCAGCTAACTTGTTTAGACCTGGAGCCCGTCTGGGGCTACTGCCGGTCCCAAGCTCAGATAAAGGAGGAGGGTTGCGAATGGGGTTAGCGACCGCATCCCGTAGAAAACTAATTCGCTAAAAAAAACTCTCACCAGCAAAAATTGTTCAAACCATAGGTAATGTATGTAAAAAGTTAACAGAGATTACATCATAAAGTGATCAGAGATTTCAAATATCAAAAGAAGATTATTTAATCGTCAAGATGTTAGTGAAGAATAAGAGGACGAAAATATATGCAAGTCGAAAATATGACAGATAATTGTCCAGTTTATATATATGAGAAAGAAGTGAACGACGTAAAGATCATGATAATTGAATAATAATCATAAAAGATTGACTAGAGTTTGAAAAGTATATCGAAGCAGCACCCATGGACCTCCCAATAGATGTTGGCCCACCAACAATTGAAAAAATCAGCATGGCCATCAGACAAATCAAGAGTGGCAAAGCAGCAGGACCAGACAACATTCCAGCAGAGGCACTGAAAGCAGACGTAGCGGCAACTGCAAGGATACTTCACATTCTCTTCAATAAGATTTGGGATGAGGGACAAGTACCAAAAGACTGGAAAGAAGGACTCCTGATCGAAATACCGAAGAAAGGCGATCTCAGCAACTGTGATAACTACAGGGGCATCACTCTTCTCTCAATACCGAGAAAGTCGTCAACAGGGTATTGTTAAACAGGATGAAGGACTGCGTAGACGCCCAACTTCGAGTCCAACAGGCAGGATTCCGTAAGGATAGATCGTGTACAGACCAAATCGCAACTCTACGGATCATTGTGGAACAATCAATTGAATGGAATTCATCACTCTACATCAACTTCATTGACTACGAAAAGGCATTTGATAGCGTGGACAGAACAACACTATGGCGTGCCTCAGAAGATGTTGAGGACGATAGATCCCCAAAACTCATATTTTTTAATTCCATCTTATCGATTAAATTATCGATTAAATGTTTAAATATTTGAATGGCAGTCAATTGATGAACTTATCGATTAAATGATTAAATAGCAGTCAATTGACGAACTTATCGATCAAATATTTGAATGGCTGTCGACTGATGAACTTACTGATTAATGTTTAAAAACATTTCACCATGACAATATCGATTGTAAATATTTGTATAAATACTCTTGATTTGTATGCCTGATTGACTTGACCTGATATCTGCTGATCGCCTGTAGAATACACTTCTACTTCTTATCAAGACTTATTGATCGAGTTAGCTGATTTGGGGACAACGGACCAGAATAGCCTATCGAGTCTCTGAATCCTGATCCTTCGTTTAGTTCCGAATAAGCCGAATCAGTAGTATGATTCAAGTTTAACGAACCTGACAGAAGATAGTCAATATCATACAGAATTCCTATGATTGATTAAACTGCAAAATCGTGCATGGAGGACAATTGACAGACTCGTTCGAAGTAAAGACCGGTGTCAGGCAAGGTTACTTACTCTCACCCTTTCTCTTTCTCCTGCTGATCGACTGGATCATGAAGACGTCAACATCTGAAGGGAAACGCGGGATACAATAGACATCTAAGATGCAGTTGGACAATCTAGACTTCGCAGACGATCTGGCCCTTCTATCGCACACGCAACAACAGATGCAGGAGAAGACGAACAGTGTGGCAGCAGCCTCAGCAGCAGTAGGTCTCAATATACACAAAGGGAAAATCAAGATTCTCCGATACAACACAGCATGCACCAATCCAATCACAATTGACGAAGAAGATTTGGAAGATGTAAAAACCTTTACGTATTTGGGCAGCATCATTGGTGAACACAGTGGATCTGATGCAGATGTGAAGGCGCGGATCGGCAAAGCAAGAGCAGCATATTTACAACTGAAGAACATCTGGAACTCAAAGCAACTGTCAACCAACACCAAAGTCAGAATTTTCAATACAAATGTCAAGACAGTTCTACTGTATGGGGCAGAAACCTGGAAACTACGAAGCCATCATCCAGAAAATACAGGTGTTTATAAACAGTTGTCTACACAAAATACTTAGGATCCGTTGGTCAGACACTATTAGCAACAACGTACTGTGGGAGAGAACAAACCAGATCTCAGCGGAGGAAGAAATCAGGAAGAAGCGCTGGAAGTGGACAGGACACACATTGAGGAAAGCACCCAACTCCGTCACAAGACAAGCCCTCACATGGAATCCTCAAGGTCAAAGGAGGAGAAGAGGAAGACCAAAGAACACATTACGTCGGGAACTGGAGATAGACATGAGAAAAATGAACAAGAATTGGATGGAACTAGAAAAGAAGGCTCAGGACAGAGTGGGTTGAAGAATGCTGGTTGTTGGCCTATGCTCCATTGGGAGTAACAGGCGTAAGTAAGTAAGTAAGCAAGTAATTCGTTACTTTAATTCCATAGGAATAGAAAATAAATTGATTCGAAATTGTCATTGGCTTGTATCAGTTTTGAATTTGTGAACATCAGTTTAGATTCCTGTTAAAGTGATGGTGTTTACTAATTACAGTTTATCTTTTGTTATAAAAACAGAATTAAAACTAAATAAATAAGCATTTCATGGTTGTACAGTTGATCATACAATTAAGACTCTGAATTAATTACTTGACGGACTACACCTCAATACATGATACTAGTAACAGGTTTCTGAAACCTGTTAGAAAAAAAACCGACTGTTTTTTTTACGAATGCCGGCGTTTTGAATAGTGTAAATTTAAGTCACTGAAGAAAGATCATTTCAAAGTATCAGTTCTATATTTTAACTAAATTCCTACATATGTGAACGGGTTTCCTGAATCATCTTAATCAAAACTCGGAAAAAAACTGATTGATACCATTAGTGAATTAGATACTAGTTTTATATTGATGAAGTATTCGGAGATCTTTAGCAAACTGTATAGTTTGAAGACTGATAAAATCAGAGATCATGCATGTGGAAGTCACCTCTAGTTACACAGCCAACTTACCTTTTATGTATCCCTTTATGACAATCCAATTATGAGTACTTATCGTATAATAATTGTGAATCTTAACCTTCTCCATTCCAATTTGTTCGGTCATTTTCATTTGCATTGCGCGTCGTTTGGTTTTGTATGCAATCGAAAACTGTACCTTGTAAAGTTTGAAGACTGCTCCAGTGAATTATTCAAGCGAGTTTCGATAAGGATCGGGCAAGTGTTTAAACATACAAATTATTCCCTACTTTTAATAACACTGGAAGGTCAGTTTTAAGAGCATGATGATAAGCACAAATATTAATACCGTCTAAACACACACTATTGAACCTAAGAAGTACTCAGTCCGTATCACTGCATATGAACAATTGCTTGGATATAGTAAAGGTTTAATACGACGAGTTATCGAATATCTACAGTTTAGGAGGGCTAATCAAGAAGTCGAAGTAAGCTTGCTGAAACGACGTATTGCGGAATTATTAAAAACAAATGAGTGATGAGATTTTGAACCAGATTAATATTATTTGTTCTAGCTCTCACTATCCTCAGATCTGTCTCATCTGTAGCGTCATCATCAGCACTTAAACAGTTACATGTACTAAAAATCAGCATGAGAAGTCATGTCAGCATTTAACAAAAACAAAGTTGAACAATTCGCTTCGAATAAAGATTAAATAATTATCGGAAACAACGTTGTAAGACATTGCTGACACAAGGAAAATCAGTGAGGAAAGGAAAAATATAGATCATTACGGGTGAAAAGCGGAACCAAAATACTGAAATAATTGGATAAATGGATAGGACTAGTTTAGATGGTGGTTGGAGGTAGTCAACAGGAAACCCTGGACCCGGGTTTCGTGCTACTTGGCACTCGTCAGCAAGGTGTACCTGTAATCTTGAGGGAACTGGTGCTCCCTGGCGTATTCGATCTCGTGTCACCCAGCTTCACAATCAGAGACGTTACCACTGAGCTATCCGAGCCGTGACTAACCTCCTGTAGGACTGAGATGTAATCACAATTGATTGATCACTGGGTGGTGATCAATGTGATCGATAGCATTCGATCTGCACTAATAAGGACTAGACAAGCATGACATTGATCACCACCCAGTGATCAATCAATTGTGATTACATCTCAGTCCTACAGGAGGTTAGTCACGGCTCGGATAGCTCAGTGGTAACGTCTCTGACTGTGAAGCTGGGTGACACGAGATCGAATACGCCAGGGAGCACCAGTTCCCTCAAGATTACAGGTACACCTTGCTGACGAGTGCCAAGTAGCACGAAACCCGGGTCCAGGGTTTCCTGTTGACTACCTCCAACCACCATCTAAATCTCAATACATAGTGCCCGCAGTGTCGAGTCACCTAGATTGGTGGCCACATTGCAACATGATCGATAGCATTCGATCTGCACTAATAAGGACTAGACAAGCATGACATTGATCACCACCCAGTGATCAATCAATTGGGATAGGACTAGTGTCTGACCATTGACCACAGACGAAACTACTGAATATTGCATCACGAACTGATCCTAGTTAAATATCTAGTGAGGTTAATTACGAAATTCAGAAAATATCAGTGAAGGCTCTAAAGTACAAACTTTTACTTACTGATATGGCATATCGTATTAAAAATTAGTGAGCTTACCATGTCTCTGTTAAATTTGGTTTCAGATACACCTTCCTAGTACAGATAAACCTGTGCTTCTGAAAGTATATCATATAGATTCATTTCATCATAATCTATTATTACTGTTGTCCGGATAACATTTTCTCCCACTCATATGAACAAACAGGGTTACAACATGTCCACAATATGAATAATCAAAGTGATTCTGGAGACAACACTACAAATGTATACAAGCTGTAACTTTCCATGGAAAGGTAAGACAATAGTTTAGTTAGTCGTCCGTAACATGATATACATAAAACGTTTGCTAGTATTTTATAAAAATAGTAGACTTTAAAAAATTGCACTTACACTCGCGAAGTGGGCTTATCAGAAAAAAAAGCTTGATTGCTTCTACCGTGAGGCGGATCAAAATGAGGATTAAGAAAAATAAGACCATTAGCGATTGCTTCTAAAGGCGCAGGACCTTCGTAAGGAAATCCCAATCCAATCAATATCTAGAATACATTTTAGAAAACATTCCACTAGTTAACATTACAGTGGTTTATGTTTTTACACAAACAAAAATAAATACACTCTCACTACAATTAATCAATTAAAACTCGTCTCTCAACAATTTCAAAGTTACAACTTAACTCTACACTTGAATTAATTTCAATCAAATAGATCTCCACTAATTAAAGATATCACATGAAAATGTATCATTATGATACCATAAAAACATAGTTCGTTCCACATGAAATCGGTCACGTTGAACTGTCAGATAATAATGTTTCACATAATTTTAGTTCACCCTTTATAGCCAAAAATAACTAAAAGAAATAAACTAGGAAGATGCAATTGAAAATATGACATATTATACGTACAAACTATCAACTATGAATAACTAACGTCTTATCGAGGAGTACAATTTGACACAAACTTAGCGAAGAATACCATACACTTAATCACATCAATATCTGCTATTTTCATCCATCATAAATTTTAAGCTGTGATAAAATAAACAACGCCTTGATCAAAACTCAATCAAGTTTTGACTGGCAGAATTCAAATTAATGACCACAACAACATGCTGGGAGGCACACTCATAAATTACTTACATAAGAATGAATCAGTTATCAAGATAATTGTAAGGGAAATTTCAGGTCCTATATCTTCATTGATTATATAGGTTCCAGTAGTCAACGATAATGACCATTCTCTTTATCAATGTGATTTTAGAATCCTCAGTTGGTTAATAGATGAATATAGTCTGACATTTACAGATAGTTTAACTTTAAGACGATCACGGATTGCGACTGCACTGAGACATAACATATCGTAATGTTAGATTTGTGAAACCTCTGGGACTGTATGTTTATTGACTAAAGTTTTCTGCAGCACAGAAATGGACGACTAAAGGAAACAGGTCGAGAGACATCGAATGAATAGTTGTGGTTTATGCAGATGTATAAAATCCTTGATTCACCAATGAAATTAGATTGTAGGGCCTCGCCCTATGTCGAGCACATCTGGGTTGTTCCAGCCTTTGGACAGGACTGATCAATATATTCATTGCTCTTAAACCACATTTTGACCTTGTCACTTATTCGCTCATCAACCTTTACTGTTTTTATGTAAGCGTATGTGACTTATTTTTGTGTGACTATAAATATCGATTCACGCATGGTTAAATGGTGTCGGCTTATTCGCCATCTCCATTGCGCATTATTTCGTTTTGCTTTGCTTTCCGAACAGCGATTGTACGAATTATACGGATTCAAAAATCCTTTCTCGTATTTGACTTATTTAATTCCATTATTCACCGATGCTCTTTAAGTCGATGATTATACACAATGATTAGCTGTATGTATAGTTCAATAACAGTCAGTCAGTAGCAATGTGGAACTTCGAAGGTACGTACATCAGTTCGAGTTGCCATACCACATTAGCACAGAGATGCATTTATCGATTCAAATCCCCTAGTGGTAGGGGTAGTAAGAGTATAAACAGTAATCGGAAATTGTAGGGTTTGAAGATGTTATTCAAGGGAGTATAATCCAGTGAAATAACAAGCAGCAAACGACCCAATTAGTCAGATCTAGGGCCACTAAAGGATACCAAATTAGTTAAAGTCTTGATCGAACATATATACTATGTTCTTTTCTGATGTCCTTCATAAACTTGATTGTAAACCAACAGATTTCGAAATCAAACTGTCTAACCGTGCAGTTTCATCCAAATGACCGATTAGTATGTCTAACACTGATCTATCGTATGATGTTGGTTTCTGAATTTCATCAGCTAAATTTTATCGGTTTCTTTCCCCTTTTATTTACAACCTTGTGTTGCGTGTGTGAGACGCCCCCAAATACCCTGGTACGGCCGAGAGTGGGGAGAGTCCATTCTCCCTCTCGAAATGCTCTCACATGGCCATGCGTATATAGCCTCTACCAGGGAAGTCCTACTCACTGCCTTCTCGTGGCACTACTGTTGTTTACGAAAATGAGAGAACGAAAAGCGAATGTCCGCCGCTTCAACCGGATTCCAAACCAATGGTGCACATGGGCTCCAGTATCCTGAGGGAGCGAATGGCGTATGAACCAATTATTGGTCACCGGCTTCCATGGGACTGCATCTCCTTACGATGCTCCACTGCCTTGTGGATCAGACCTTCAGGTCGAAGGCTCGGGGTGTGGCCCTCTAAGAAAACCACCTGCTTCGATCTGGGAACCCGGACAGTATCACAGCCCTCACACATATCGAATGAGACTTGTGTGGTGCATATGTATTGGGTGCCTCCTTGTACCAATATCTATATCTATGTGTGTGTGAGACGGTTCACTAATTCATTGGATCCATTATCATTATTTTGGTAAAGTTAATAGATAGTATTCACATTCAGAGAAATTATAGGTGACACTGAATAGGTAATTGGAGAATTTAGAGAGGGGCAGAACCCTGTGAGCATAACTAAGATCAATTGTCGCTTGACTTAATTCTCTAGTGGCATAGTATTGTCACCAACATCATCTTCACTCTGTTCATCAATCGAATTCCTATGAGATAGAATCAGTATGCGTCAAACACAGAGTTCGCTGCTAATATTTCACTGATACCTTGACAAACAAACAATGCTAGTGACTATTTACGATGAAATGCCAGTTCGTCAGCTTTGTGGTCATTAGTACGTTAAACTCTATCATCATAATTCTGAAAACTATTTAATGTTGCACATTTCTGTGAGTCAGATTATCAAATAGTTTCTTAATAAGTCCAGTTATAATACACTGAAAAAAACTTAACCTTTTTAACAGGACAATTCAACATGAATGCGATTACATATAAACTTACTTGAGCTTTCGACATTAACTCTAAATATGGTTGACCATATTGCATTTGATGTATATGCACAAATTTTGGCAAGTTATCAACTCTATCCATCACATTCCATGTAATTCAAAGTAATCAGATAAAATTCTCAAATAATTTGTTTTATTCTTAAGAGAAAAAATAATTTGATGATGTACACAAAGATGAGTAAATTAATGAGGGAAACAATTAAATAACAATCATTGAATATAACAAATGTAGTAGATTCAAGTAAAACACAGTTGAACATTCATATTTTATTTGCAATGAAAAACAATGAACACAGATTTTGGTGGGTTATTTTACTACAAAACAACGCGCAGAATACAACTGATCTATTGATAGTACAATACTAATTATGTTAAGTATTGAGTGTGAATGTTGAATAAGTAACTAAATCAGTAAGATTATTTTGACCAAATGATGATATAACAACAATAGTTACTTCACAATCTAGTGTTAATGGACTTTATGGAAATGGATAGATATATGCATTTAATTTTAGCCCAGAGTTTGGGTTATTGAAGTTTTTTAAAACTTACACCTAGCTGAAATCAACTCTTAAAATAACAGATTGCTAAGTCAGATGCAATACCACAAATATGGAAAAAATACACAAATTCTGGTAAGTTATCAACTTTATCCATCACATTTTCATGTAATTCAAAGTAATCAGACAGTTCTCAAATAATTTGTTTTGTCCTAAGGAATAAGATTCTCGAGTTAATTTGAAGAGACAGAAAACACGTATTGAAAATGAATAAATTGCAGGTAATTGAAACAACGTGTTTCACTTAAATCGAAGATTATGAAATATATGTATATTTTATCTCTTTTAAGTAGTAATGTCTACAATAGTCTATTTGCATTGATGTATATGTGGATAAAGAAAAGGACCAGCGAGTTTAAACAATTTGGCGTCTCTCACTGTTGTAACAGTTTATTTTGAAGATTATATTAGGCCTTCGTTCCTTTATAATTAAATTCTTTGGTTTCAAAGTTCCAGTTGAACAGAGTGTTGGGCACTTAATACTGCCGACCTAACAGATGTAGTTGTAATTTCTCATATTTTTTAAATATAATAAAATGATATATCTATTAGATTTGATACTTGGTATTCTACTTGGTGATGGATTGAGTAAAAAGGTTGCTATGACATCGGATACGTAGTCGTTTATCCGGAACACTGACATTAAGCATCTCCTGAGAAATATGTTTTTATTCATGCATTTCTATTTATTTCTTCTTACAGTGGACGTGACTGCTTCTTCTTTAATGGTGCTTAAAACATTCGTGACCGTCCCATTAAATGTATTTATTGATTTGAAATGCACGAGGAGCTACCATTACTTCACTATCAAAAAAATAGGGCTACGTTATTTTCATTCGCCCTCAAATGAACAACTAATTACAATGGGAAATAGTGTGACTGATAATTAAACTCAATTGCTGAGTCACGTATTGTAACTAGTGGAGCCATGTTATGATGGAGAGACAACAAGTAACTTAACTGACAAATAGGACTGAATTAAGCAATATTGACCTAAATACTGTCAATTATCTCTTATTACTTTGATTTTGAAGACTTTACAAAGATTAAATAAAGCCAACGTATTACTCAGAATATAATTTGCTATTTTGCTGCTTTTATTTCATTCTCAGGGACCCAAATGAATGAAATTGACTTATGAATAATGTACTGAGATGAAATAAACATTTAAAAATTGGTTTCTCTGAAAATTTTATACGGCTGGCTATTTTGCAGCCCTTCATTAGACGTGACCTTTGGAACAAAAACGTCATGTGTGAAGCAGTTGGGGATTAATGACATTGTAGTAGGGATCATATAACATAACAAACTGCCTGATGCTAAAAACATGGATCATGGAGTTTTAGCTCAGTGATTCACAGGTATCATGTTTGCAACGAAAGCTTAATTAACTTGCTTTTATTATAAGCCAAGTCAGGGGTATACCATACGAGAAAAACAATTTTCTAGTGACTTCTGGTTTGCGATAGTTCACCAGATGATTTTAAATTGTGGTAGGAATTACCTTTGCATTTTGCCAAATATGTACAAAACTACTCACGTAGAGAGAAAAACAAATATTTCAAAGTAGACCCTGATAGCGTTGTTTTTGAAAGTAAATTCCAATATGTAAATGATCTCAACTTAACTAGCTGTTTACTGTGTAAACAACCAACGACTACGTGCAAATGTTCAAATAGTTACTTCTCTTTTCTGAGACAGAAATAATTATTGTCTTTTATTAGTATCACATCAAGAAAATGTCAGGGAATACATGATAGTGTTTTCATCAGGCCGAGAGATTATAAGTTTCTCGTCTATCATCTACTACTCTTTTTTGTATACCTATCATATCATCTTAAAAGTGTAATTTAAGAGTCAAATGTATTTCTAACAATGAAGCTAAAAATATTAACAAAGTAATGTCTACTGAAACTTGATATTTTGTAAAGGAAGAACTCGTTAAGCGTTTGAAAGTTTAATAAATTGAAACATTTTACCAATATATTTTGAAACAACAATTAAAGAGAAAAGTTTACTTAAGGAAAAAATATCAGTAAACTGATAGGTTATTAACAATAACTTGCAAATTAGCAAATGATATGAAGATGAGTTTATGAAAATATTATATTATTAATATTACGAAATATCTTAAAATTAAAAATGTACATCATTCATTCTGATTGAATGACAGAAAACAATTATACCCTAAAGTAATTATTTATAGGACACAGTCACAAGTATTTTGTTCATCCTTTATGCAGTAAGTTCAGGAATTTGGAATCCAATAATTGTGTTGTTTAGTAATTATTATCAAAAAGTCAATAGTGTGAATCACTTATTTTGGCTGAATCTCATGAAAACTTTTATGCTGTAACTCATTAACTTGCAAGTTATCGTCATGAGATTTCAAATAAAAATTATTAATTAGAAAAAAGAGAACTCGGTGATGAAAATTTTTTTCTTTTCGACGAAACCATTTACTTAAGCTGTACATTCATATATATAGGTATATGGAAAATGTATGTCTATAGGAGGATAGAAAAAAACTGTATCACCGAAATGGATCCTCGAATCCATTTTCCATATACCTATATATACAAATGTACAGCTTAAGTAAATGGTTTCGTCGAAAAGAAAATTTTCTTCGCTGAATTCTCTTTTTCTTATTCAATGACACTATGGGTTATTTTAAAAATTATTCAATGTAGTCATCCGTTAAAAGTTTCATAAATGGGTAAGTGAAGATGTAATTATTTGTTACTTTCCTATATGAAACATTTATTCATATTTTGATTGTGTACCTTAATAGAAATAGATTACAATTGATTACAGTACAGCATATTTATTTCCTTTTTATTATCTTTCATGTCTTGAAGTTAATATCACTTTATTTCCTTTGACTGGTTTCAAAACATACTGATAAATCTGAATAAATTTAACAATGCTACTGACTATTTTAAAAGCAAATGATCTTAAACTATCCTTAAAAAGGAAAAATAATAATGCACTAAGAGAATTTTATTATCTGGCCAACCGCATAAATGAATTATGATTGCACAATTGAAAACCTACGTTCCACATGTATGACTGTTTTCCGTAGATAAGAGCAATAGGCTTAGACAATGATTGATTAGATTTAGATTTAAACGGGGATATTTCCGTAACAAAACCCAGAAATGTATTGTCCGGTGAATGAGCTGAAAATTAAAGAATGTAATAATCTGTAACAGTAAGAGAACAACAACAATATACATTATATGTATAGAAAAATGTTGCTTTGTCAAATAATATGAAGTTAGTTAAATGAAGAAATGTTATCACTAAACATTAATTTTTACGAGTAATGGTCTAGAATAAAGAAGGGAGAGGAGTTGTGTCATTTTTTGTCACTATCTGGCATGGATTGTGTACGTTCTTAAAGAACTGTATAGTCATCAAACTGGATCATAACAATATGCAATAACCACTATTTTGAATGATCCAAGACTCAAAAATAAACGACCATTAATTTTAAAACAAAATATTTCATTTTTCCCTTAAGTGTTTAGTATTTTATAGGCTTTAATAATTGATTTCCAGTGTTACTTTCTTCATCTGGCCTGATGGGTTCATAACCTCACTGGTACAATGTTATTCCTAATTAATTCGATGTAATCGATGATGAAACAATAAAAAAACAGATCGTCAAAGTTTTAAAAACACCAAACACCCTTATTCTTATCTTTAGATGAGTATTTCACTAATTGTTTGCTCTATTGATTTCATTAATTAAATTATTTGTTAAGAATGAAATGAAATTTAATTGGTTATAACAAATATTTGTATTATTCGTTATTTCTTTTATTTACATTAATATGTGAACCATAAATTGTACTGGTAATATGAAAAGACTCTCGAAAAGTGAAAACAAATAAAATGTTAATAAATCATGCTAAAATGTAACAGAATATGCAATTAATTTTTATGAGTACAATTACATCAATTGTTCAATATAGTAGATTTATTGCAGTTCAAACAATCTTATGGTTTTAGTCATCAATAATAGGGAATTTAATGTTTAAAACCTATTCCACATTCAAATGTTATAATGGGAGTTTGAATGAATTCGTTAGTTCATTACACTGTAAAAACTTGATAACAGGGAAGTAAAGTATATGCTACAACGAAATAGAAACTTCAATCATACAAAACGCATTTATTATCAGTGTACTGATATTTTCAGCTCATCAGACTTTCGTTGAACATATAATATTAATTAAATGTCAGTTTTTTTTAATGAAGCCACAAACTCAATTAACTTAACAATGCTATCAGAGAATAATAACAGTACAGAATGTCTTAAATATTAAAACTTTTGATTATTTTTACTACTTCAACTTCCCTTTTAACAGATGGACTGATGTTTCAAATTATCAGTCATAGTCATGTTCTTGATAATGAAGTTTCCTAACAATCGACAAACTTAGTTGTATATTAGAGTAAAGCCTGATGAAGATCTAATCGAAAACAATATTGTTCGCTTATGTATGTTGTTCTAAACTTAGTTATGCAAGGATATTAACTGTTAAAAAAATAAAAACATCATTCTTATTAGCGTTGACTCTCTTGTTTAACGAGGATCGTGCTCACTGAGATAAAAAAATATCAGGTCAATGTCGATCGTGTCTATCAAGTCAATCGTTAGTTTTTGTGGTATTAGTTAGTTCTAAAACGTTCATTTCAGTATCAAAAATCCTTAGAACGTATCTGTATTCTGTTTCAGTTCCACCATTACATGATATGCCGACATAGCAGCTACAGTTGAGATCTGAATTTAATACGACTAGAGTATATGACAGAAAAACCACAAAAGTGAAACAGGGTCCGTCATTCAGTGATATCGATCACGAGAAAATGAATTACAATTGGCCTGTTTTAGTAAATCCTGAAAACAGTATGACTCAAATAGAAAAGGCTAATCTACAGTGGTGGGGAAAGTACATGTTATATATAAAAATATTCGACAATAAGCCTGAAGCTGTCTCGAATGAAATGAAGACACATGCCAGTAGAAAATCACTATGGCAAAATAGAGCGAGGTGTAATTCATTCGATATCTTTGTTAGCAAACTGATTACCATAATAATATAATGGAATTCAACTGCGCCACCTATCCATAAATTAATTTAACGTTAAAGTATTTTCGATAAAACATTATGAAACTATAAGTATGGAGGTTTCCTGAGATCTTTGAATGTTACTGTTGTGGATGCGGAGGAATAGACCAATAATTATCATGTTAAGTCCAATGGTGTCCTTGGACTTTAAATGGACATTTCCTATTGGTCGATATCTGTTCACTCGTTGAATATTGTACAAAATGTTGTTTTCTATTTTATGGTACTATGTGGTATGCTTGACTGGTATATAAACAAAGTATGTTTGAAATATAGTGATTCATATCTCCGAGGCTGTGACTTGTGTTCTGGACTCAACTGACTGGGCTAGACAGGGGAGCGAGACCAATAGAGACTCTAGGCCGTCCGTACGTGTTTACGTGTCATTGAATCGATCGATAAGTACGCTGCTCTCTAGTCTCTTCAGTCAAGGACACAATAATTAGCACAGGGTAAAAATCAACCACAACTTAAATTCATAACAGTTACTGAGATCACAAATAGAATTAACTTAAACTTTTAAACGAATGGATGCCAAATCAGTCATCTAAATACTAAGCTCTCACTCCAAGACATGAAAGCCCTGGGTTCTATCCCCAAAAGAGTCTTCAATAAGTACTGCTATCCAGTGCTTCCTGGTCATCAATCATTGTCTAACTCAAATAATTATGAAATGAAACTCAAATTAGCATTTAAATAGTAACATGACAGAGAAAAAAAACACAAAAAACGGCGAATAACTTACGGAAAAATGTATAAAATTGTTGTAAATTCAGATGTAATCCACCCCACCTTTCTGCCTTACGATTATATGGAGCTTCTGTTCCAAATGTATCCAATATACGAAATTTGCATAATGGCGTACTTAAGAGAAAAAGTAATGAAAAGGAATTCCTCTTCAGTGTTTTAATGTATAATAACGTTTCTATTGTTTGTCTAATAAATTATTTCATAATTTCAAGATATAGAAAAATTGTTACACAGAACGGTGGTTTTGAACGCATTTTATATTCTCAGTAATTTATTCAAAAGGATTTAATTGTATTTGAAAAGAATGTTACCATGATAACAACACAATATTATAAAAATAGATGCAAATATAGTTCAAGAACTTACCGGATTTGTGTGATATCCAACTGTCTAAATCCTGTTATATCTGTGTATACTAAATCGTACTCATTACTTTTCACCATACATGGTATATGATCTGAATATGAAAGAAGCCTGTCAGTTGTTATAAAAAAACAAGGTGAAAAAGTCAACATTTTTATAAAAACAAAATACCAACTATGTAAATAAAAAGTAAAACCACTGTTAAGTGACCAACAGTTGAACTGATATCAAATCGCCGTCATTATCGAATGCCATAAATAAGCATCCACCATACTGCCTGATGGATTAAGTTTATGGTCAGAATAACCATCACTGTATACAGCATATCGACATTTATAGGTGCATGTATTTATGGGGATGTTAAGTTGGCTTATCCCTACTTAACTCGATTCTGTATTTGTGAGCGACTTTTATGATAAATTATTCGATGCCGTTTGTTAGTAATCAGTCACCTGAAGCATAGCAAAAATCGAAGGTTAAGCTTTTAGAATCAAGACAAATAGAGCAAGGAAATATTAGTTTTGTGTTATAGCTCTACATAGGGTACTGGTGATTGTTAAACAAGACTTGGATTTAATTCATCCAGTCTCTTATTTGACTCACAGTGTCTGAATATAGAAACTTCAGATGGTTACTTACTTTTTGGTTATATCAGATCACCGTCGTTACTAACGTCTAAAGTAAAGACATCAGGTCCTGCTACTTTTCCTTTTCTAGATTCAACTGTGGGTTTTCGAACTTCTGTAAAAGTTAGTTTCAGTTTAGGTTTGGGAAGGAGAGGAAACTTCTGTAAAAGTTATAAAGGCTTTTCTCAACCAATAATTAGAGATGTTTGAGAACATTGGACAAGTGAAGGGGCTATGCCTATCGTTCTTGGTGCTAGAAGCGAATCATGGTTCATCTTTTCTAGAGATAGTTCAACTAATTCCTGATTTCACGGTACCTGTTCCTTTCAAGGGCGTCACCTATTGATATTACATTTTTTTCTCTTTTATTTTCATCTTCTACTAATGTTAACGATCAGTCGTACAGTACATACAAACATTCGACCATATCATCTAGATCAAAGGTGGTCCTATGTATATGTGAATAAACCAGTTGTTTATGGTTTTCTCGACCAGATAAGACATGATTTTTAAAAAAATAGTCCAACACAATTATTTGATTTTCTGTAATACTGAGTGTATTAGGATGAAGTGCTTCAGCTGTTCACCGTTCACTATAGTTGGAGAAAATTTTGTGAATTGTCTGAAAATTTTTAAAACCAATTTGATGGCTTTTGGAAATGACATTCACCACCATTTCTAACTTAGTTTGCAGTCTTGGTTCACTAACCGATTTTTCCATTATGAGCGTATTGCACTAATAAGACTTATTTTAAAGATTTAGAGTTATTCTTTATTCAAGTAATTCGATATTAGATGTTAAGGATCGATAAAATGAAGGTAAACCTTAGTCTTTACCTGACTAGAATTAATAGTTAGCTTGTTAATGTCTCAGCTGCTTCAAATGACCTCTGACCTTTGTCTTGAAATGTTACTTATAAATGATGTTGGTAAACAGCATACGTGATACCGATACTTAGAAAGTACTTGAGATTAGCATTTTAATCACTTAACCGATCGGATAATTGTTAAATTCAGTGTTAAACAGAAAATATATTTATATTGAGTGTAGTTGGCCTTATGATTCTGACACAAATGGTACTACGAATATGTGAGATACACACGAAAAGATGAAATCTCAAAGGTCTTTTTACTGATAATACTACAGTTTGTACATATGATCTATTGCTGATATCAATAGAAATGTTGTGTATACCTTAACAAATTTCCTAAATGTAGAATCTATTAAATCAAAATTTTTGATAAATCTATTCTTAGGCATGAAATTTATTTTCTAATATTTGATAACGTTAGCATAAATATTTTGATAAAATCGGTCAATTATAAATAAGCATATCACAACTGTTTACTCAGATTAATTGTTTTCAAGTAATTTCCATCACATTGTATTCATTTCAAGGAATTACTAGAAATTTATGTAAATTACTTTGAAAATCACTTATTTTACTTAATGCTTATTGTCTCGAGAAATCTATCTTAGAGCATGAAGTTTCTTTTCGTTATAATGGTTGATATCATGATTCATTTGAGGTTGGACCACCATGAAAAACGTGGGAGCACTGGACGGCCGTTTCGTCCTCATATGGAACTCCTCAGCAGTGCGCATTCACTATCCCACCCTGCGAGGTTCAAACTCAGGACCTATCGGTCTTGTGCGCGAACGCTTAACCTCTAGAGCACTGAGCTGGCATCCAACTTATTTGCTAAATACGTTATACAACGAATAGGTAAAATATAAGAACCATACATTGAATGCTTAATTTTGCAAATTTTCATCATTTATCCTTCACATTCTGTATGATTCTTCCTATTCACAATTCCTTTCTAATTTCGTTTCTGTCTTTTTCATAGTCTTCTGCTGCTAGGTTTTCCACTTCCAATTTGTGTTACATACTATTTGTGTCGACAAGCATTAATCCAAAACTTAGATTAATTTTGATTTGGTTATTTATTCTCTGAAGAATTGGATTACACTGAATCAAAAAATGTCAAAAAATTCAATTTTTCTACTCATTGGGATATTACAAATATATTAAATAATTTCTATTATTATTATTACTATTATTATTATTAACTCTCTTATTCCATATTACCCATATTTATTCAAATCATTATTCTCACAATTTTATTTAACATATAGGCTTATTGAAGTCAACATTGCATATTAATCATTTTTAGCGTTAATTATTCAATATTATTTCACAATCCTACATTCATATACTGTCATTTTAAACCGTGTATTTTGCTTTAAATCTGGCCACTTTTTGGATTATTATTATTAGTTCAGATACATAATTGTGGAACCTGAAGAGAATTTATTGAAATCGATATGTTTGTTGCTGTGAAATAATAAAATTACCCATGTACTATATGTACCTGTCAGTTGGACAATATTTTTCTCTTGGTTCAAAAGAAACTTATCAATTGATGTTGTAAACGTTGACAACAGGAATATACAAACAAATATTGTCGGTCTGATCTGCAGATTTTATAATTAGATAGAATTTTTAAATCCCATCTTGTGAAGCTCGAATATTTATTGATACAAGTCGAGATTCATAAGTCATGTGTCAATAAACCATTTAAAAATTCTTCTTATATTTGTGGTATATTATTCGATTGTTTGCTTGATGAAAATAAAAATTATGATTAAGGGATTTATTATAAATCGTGACAAATTAGAATCGATCTACACATAATCTTACGACTTTGCATTAGTGGCTTCGTACGTAATTGTTAATCTATGGCCAAGAATATAGAGAGCACCAATGAGATCAGTCCACTGAACAAGTTCACCAAGAGCACCACCTAAAATGTATAAATCAATTATGCATCTCCTTATATATAAGTTTAATTCGATGAATCTAAGAACTAAATGAATTAAGTTTAATCACATTTTATTTCTGATAACAGATAAATGAAAGCCGTCACTATGAAGTGAAATCACATTTCTTTGGGTGAGAATTCGCCCCAACATTCAGAATTATAGTTTTACGTTCATTGATACTTTCGGAAACATCCAGCAATACATTGTATTTTAACTACTGTCAGAAAAGGATTAGATTGGATACCCAAGGTTAGAAATAAACTGTTTTTACATAACTTGGTGCTTTTTGTCATTAATGAACCCAATAATTTCAATAGTCTTTTCAAAATCGTTGTTTGCCCTATAATTTTCCGTCGAGCTTACTCCAATAAACTTGTGTCAAGGTAGCAGAAAAACAGTATACAAAATAGAACAGACATATATTTATCTTATTCAATGTACTTCACAGATATCAAGATTACAAATAGTCAAATTACCTCTGGATACCTGTGTTTCGAAAAGGTTATCACCAAAAGCATTCGATAAAAATTCCAAATGAAGAAGAATCTAGCAAAAAGAATACGAATGAAATTAGTCCAATATAAATGTTTACGGTGAATAGGAATATCACTCCAACTAAGAACAATCCTCTTCAGAATGAGTAATTATGTATTCATTTAACGAGCTAAATGTCGTCGTGATATAATTTTAATCTTATAATACAGTAAATTGTATTCATACATTTGTCAATACATCACGATCAAATGCCACTCAGTTTAACTTATTGAAATCCTAACTATTGATCGACGTAAAGAAAATGCGGAAATCAGTGTGTTCAGGAATAGTATTTAGTCTATATTTGATGTCTAATGAATTCTTAACTGCTAGCAACATTTTAATTTTTAATTTGTGTCCGGCAATATCAGTTCTGCCGGTTGTTTTGTTTTGATTTTACTGAAAGTGATTTTTCAACTACGCCTGCAGCTCTGCTACGATTACTGCCGGTTCCAGGCCCACACAGAAAAGCAGGATTGGGCATCGAGTCAGCAATATCATCTCGTAGAAAGCAACTTTTCTAAAAAGACGCCGATCAGAATAGACAATTTCAACTCTGTCCTCCTAGTTGAACGATCTTCTTTCAGAAGAATCATGGCTCCTCATGGTGAACGCCAAGATTCTTAAGAAGTCACGAGGCTGATGTCCCTTCTTACAACCAGAGCAACTATTAATATAGGTACACGGAATGTCCGGATAATGTGGAAGACCAGGAGGATCAGTCAAATAGCTGAGGAAGTGAGGAGATAAATGAGAATCAAGACAGGAGCTGACATAGCTTCAGATCATCATCTATCTGGTGGTTGACAAAATTAAACTGAAGCTAAAGAAGTACTATACAACTCGGGAAACAGCATTAGCAACAGCAATTAACAACAGCCGAACAATAGCAAGAAATTCAAGACACAAGCTGAATACACAGAAGAAAACAATCAAGTGAAGAAGGCATCGAAGTCAACAAGCAGAAATATATGCAAGAACTAGCAACGGCGGCGGAAAAAGCTGTATGAGAAGGAAATATCAAACAACCATGCAACACGACGAAGAAACTGCCAGGCAAATATAGTAAAGAAAAGAGACAGGTCAAGACAATCACCTAGATTCAAGAACGAAGGGATGGATGGGTAGAATACTTAGAGGAACTCTTGAATAAACCAGCTCCATTGAATCCACCGGACACCGAAACACCAAACACAGACATTCCTATAGATGCCATCCCAAAAACAACATAAAGAATCACGATGGCCATCAGACAAATCAACAGTGCGAAAGCAGTAGGACCTGACAATACATCAGTCGAAGCACTGAAGTCACACATAGAAGCAACTGCAAACATGTTCCACATTCTATTCAGGAAGATCCTCAATACGAACGTCAAGACAGTCCTACTGTATGAAGCTGAAACTTCGAGAACCACTAGAACCATCATCAAGAAGGTGCAAGTATTTATAAATAGTTGTCTACGCAAGATACTCAACATTCATTCGACGGATACCATCAGCAACAGTCTTCTGTGGAAGAGAACAAAAGCTTCCAGTTGAAGAGCAACAACGGCACTCCTACAATTGGACAACATGTGTAATTCAAAACAACTGTCAAGCTAACATCAAAGTGAAAATCTTCAATACGAATGTCAAGACAGTTCCACTGTATGGAGTCGAAACACGAAGAACAACCACATCTATAATCAAAACGGCACAAGTATTTGTAAACAATTATCTACGTAAGATACTCAATATCCGATGTCCGGATATCATCAACAACAACCCACTGTGGGAGAGAATAAACCAGCTTCCAGTTGAAGAGGAAATTAGGAACAGACTGTGGAAGTGGGTATGACAAAAATTGAATAAACCACCAAAATGCATCACGAGGTAAGTGCTAACTTGGAATGCTGAAGTGAAATGGAAAAGTAGAAAATTAAAGAAGACACTGCGTCGATAATTGGAAGCAGACATCAAAATGATGAATAGAGATTGGAGAGAACTGGAAAGGATAGTCCAGTGAGTGTGGGCATTTGGATGGAGGATGCCGGTGGGCGGCTTTTGCTCCTCCACGAGGAGTAACAGGCATAAGTAAGTAGGAGGTGACTTGTTACAACCAACCGCAGAAAATAATAATTCTAAATAGGTTACACTATTCATAAGCAATTTGTATCCCAACTAAACACTGTGTTGCATGGCTGAAGGTATCCTAATTCAGAATATAGTATACAAAAATTAATTACTTGGATAACCGTATTTTTGGAAATAGTTATTACGATAATAATAATAATAATAATAATAATAATAATAATAACAATTATTATTATTATTTTTATTATTATTATTATTAATGGCTTTATTCAATATTATATTTTGATACAATATAGAATTCTCAGCACAGCATAAGAAAATACAAAGATTATTTGCACAGTGATTCTAAAGAAAGGAAATCGTAAAATGGAAGTATTTTGGTAAGTGTAAAAGACAGGATTGTACCGGAAAATATGATAAACTGCCCTGACGAGCAAACTCGTGACCAGGTTGTCCGTATACATTTTGTATAGATAAGTCATATTTTTCAAACCGAATCCAGGCTCTCGTTGCACTCTTTAAATTTATGAAAGACATTAATTATTTTAAACAGTGAAACACTCACGTTCAGCTTTGGTCTTCCATATAAAAACGGTTGACCTGTTATTTTAGTAGACTGACAAAGATTAAAGCAAGTCATATCATCAGAAGAACAATGTTTACAATGATCTAGTGAATCAGGCCACGAAAAATTAACACCATTTATATAGTGTTGAATTCCTTCCAGCCAATCAGGCCAAATGCGCTTTAGCCTTGCACGCATAAACGTGTTTGATACTAAATGGTTTTTGTACTCAGGTAATAGATCAAGTAGACCTTTAAGTTCTCGATTTATCTGGAAAAAAAGTATCGAAAAACAAGATCAATCTGAGAAAAGACGGAAAAGATAAAACTGTGCAATAATAACTAATGATCAGATAAAGAAATCTGTCCTCAAAAAGAACAAAATATGAGTGTGAGTCAAAAACAATTGATGTGATGTTTTTGAGAACATGTGATCAACACCCTTCTACTTTCATTGATATCATGAAGCGATCAATGTTAAACCTTCATTGAAAACTCGGAAGCACAAATAGTTGTTTCTTCTCATTATGGGACTTTTAAACAATGAACAACCAGGAAACCGCACCAAAGGAAATCAAATCCGGAACCTTCGACCTCGCGCGCTATCGCTTAACCTCTGGACCACTTATTGAGGCTCCAATGGCACACAAGTCTAACTTTAATCAAACCACGGCATCACACGACCATTGTCTCCGGTAATTAACTAAATCCCAGCCTACCGGTCTATAGTTTAAGCGTTTCCACGCGAGATCAAAGGCTCCAGGTTTGAGTCCCTTTGGTGTGGAGTCGTCGGTACTCTTCACTGAGAAATCCCGTACTGAGACACAATGACCGTCTAGTGCCTCCAGGCTTGCAAGGATGGTCTAACATTGATCGACCCTATACATACACCTTTCTGCTTCTTGAACATAAATAGCCGGTGATAATTTCAAGCTATTCTGAAGCATAATTGATTAGGTAATATACGTTTACCTGTAATTGTGAATATAATATCTCTAATAGTTGTTTAACTTATCCTAACATTAATTTTGTGGTTTACAGATTCTATTCAACAGTTTATATTACAATAAGCAAAATAGAAAAAACTTCTTTACTAAATTGTTGAAAATAAACTACTGAACTAGCAATTATGTAACCGTACACTTTCCAAGGAATATATATCTCCTTAAAGAAGAATCAGTATGCACACAAACACTAAAGAAACCTTCCAGAAACAATTGGAACCATGAATATCAAATAAACACACCTTCACAAACTATTAAAATCTTCTGCATTATCGTTTCGTGAGTAAACCACAAACGAAACTACATTCACGTAGAAAGAAAACATTACGACTGATAGAAAATTAGTTCTGTATATTGCGCTCAAAAAAACATCAGGAAATGGAAATGTGAAGAATAAAGACTAATATGATTGCAAAACTTTCTGTAGATCACAGTTCTAATTTGATTATTCAGAATGAAACTAGTTGTACATCAGTATTTATTAATTTCAAGTACACTTGAGTGTAACACGAAATATAGTGATTCAATTTTCCTATAAATATATAAATTAAAATTAAGCAAACACATATATCATTTATACCTGAGCTTTTCTACGTCGTTTTACAAATTTTCGGTTATCCATTATTGGGCAGAAACTTTCAACCTATTCAAAAAGATAAGATAAAATGTTTGCATGAAAACGAACTCAAAGAGCAAGATAATAAAAATGTTGTTCAGTAAAAAAATTGATTTAAAACCTTGGCAACAAAATAATTTACTTGAAATGTATTGGCTTTCGAAATTTGGTTAATATCTTGCATATAACGTAAAGGTAAGGACATAACAGACAGAAATCTAATTGATTCCTCCTAGTAATCACTTAACGTGGAAGAACTAGCAACGACGGCAGAAAAAACTGCAAGTGAAGGAAATTTGAAACAAATTTACGATACAACGAAGAAACTAGCAGGGAAATACAGTAAACCAGAGAGGCCGGTCAAGGACAAAGAAGGAAGGCCAATCACTGAAATTCAACAACAGCGGAACAGATTGGTAGAATACTTTGAGAAACTCCTGGATAGGCCGCCTCCAATGAATCCACCGGACATCGAAGCAGCGCATACAGATCTTCCTATAGATGTCAACACACCAACCACCGAAGAAATCAGAATGGCCATCAGACAAATCAAAAGCGGGAAGGCAGCAGGTCCCGACAATATACCAGGTGAAGCACTGAAGTCAGACATCGAAGTAACTACAAACATGCTTCACCTTCTATTCAAAAAGATTTGGGAGGAGGAACAAGTGCCGATGGACTGGAAAGAAGGACACCTCATCAAGATTCCAACGAAAGGAGATCTGAGCAAATGTGAAAACTACAGAGGCATCAAACTACTGTCAGTACAAGGAAAAGTCGTTAACAGAGTTTTGCTGGACCGGACGAAAGATGCAGTAGACGCCCAACTTCCAGATCAACAAGCTGGATTCCGTAAGGATCGGTCGTGCACAGACCAAATTGCGACATTACGGATCATCGTCGAACAATCAATTGAGTGGAACTCGTCACTGTACATCAACTTCATTGATTATGAAAAGGCAGTTGACAGTGTAGATAGGAGAACGTTACGGAAACTTCTTCGACACTACGGCGTTCCTGAGAAGATTTTCAACATTATCCGGAACTCATACGACGGACTACAGTGCAAGGTAGTGCATGGAGGACAGCTGACAGATGCATTCCAAATAAGGACCGGAGTCAGACAAATCTGTTTACTCTCTCCCTTCCTCTTTCTTCTGGTGGTCGACTGGATTATGAAGACCTCGACATCTGAAGAAAAACACGGAATACAATGGACAGCTCAAAATCAATTAGACGATTTGGACTTCGCAGATGACCTGGCCCTCCTATCGCCAAAGAACACATTACGTCGAAAAATAAAAGCAGATATGGAAAGGATGAATAACAACTGGAAGGAGCTGGAAAGGATTGCCCAGGACAGGGTTGTATGGCGAATGCTGGTGAGCGGCCTATGTTTCTTCACGAGGAGTAACAGGCTCAAAGAAGAAGAAAGAAGAAGTAATCACTTGATTATGATGTGTGTAAGTGATACTGTTTTAACAAGCAAATATAGTGTATTTTGATTTTGCAAACGATTGTTTCAACCAATTCGAAATGAAAAGAACCTATTTGGTCATTGAAGTAGAATCAAATACAGTTCAGTGAAGAAACATTTTCTTTCTATGATGTCATTAGTTTAAACTGTAAAATCGTATTTTGTGGCGATTTAACAGATATAGTAGTTTACTGAAAAATTATTATGTTACAAATTTTTCGGAAATTTCAACTGCTAAAAAAGGTTAAGTAAACGTTTGAGAAGTTAAAGAATAATATTACAAATTTTTAAATGACAACTGTTCAGAACAGCGGTTTGTGTAGATTGTAGTAATTTAATAGTTGAATTCATGAGTCGATTTAAACTAGACCACCATTAAAAACGAAGAAGCACTAGAGAAAATGGTGGACGGTCGCGTAGTATCGTGGATCGGTCGAGGTTAGACATTGAAACCGTTGGATCCCGGCTCAGTAGTTTAGAGACTAAGAGTTCGAGTCCCGTGTGCGGGATCGTGGATGCGCACTGCTGAGGAGTCCCATACTAGGATGAAACGGCCGTCCAGTGCTTCCAGGTTTTCAATGGTGGTCTAGCTTTAACTGACTCATGATTTCAATCTGTGAATATTTATCAATGATTAAAATATATCGATAGGAATTCAATTTTCATTTCAATTTGATAGAATGATCATAGGTAGTTTACAATTCACTGATAAAAATCGATCCATTAATAATAACACTCACCTCACTAAGATAACGAAGAAATGAACATTCTGATCCATCTACTCCTAACTCAGCATAACATGAATGAGTTTGCCAAGATATCCGTAACCACTAGGAAAATCAAATTTTAGATAATATTCATTCAGTTATTTATTTTTGTTATTAATGTTATATAAGATTATTGAAAACAATTAATAGAAAGTAGAAAATTACATTTCTGACGTTTCGTGACTTCATGTAAGCTACCTCTTATGAGAATAAATATTCTCATTCATTTACTACACATTAGGATATTAAAAATACGCCATTATCTTTATTATTACAATCTGGTCAATACTCAACTAATCGGAATCATCAAGTGAAATATTGGTAACTATACCCATAAACTCACTAATAAGTGGAAAGCTCAGAGTCTAGGTTTCACGATGGTTGGTTTGGATTAATAAGTAAATCAAGAGATCGAGCCGTTCAGCCAATTGGTCAAATCACAACGTCAAAAACAGAGTATGGTGACAGTGATAACAAATCATTAACCAATCAGTGTATTCAACCGAGTCTATGAGTTATTCTGAATTTCCTGGAGAGCTTTACCATAAGGAAACATGTCTGTAAAGTAACTAAAGTGAATACAAAGTCAGCTATTTACATACTGTCGTTCTATGTAAGCTATAAATGGTTGATAGTTGAGTGCTAATCATGGTACTTTTATCAGGCACATAGGAGGACAGAAGAACCGGGTTTGTGATTGTATTAAACTAATACTCAATGTAGTAATAAAACTTAGTAACCTCGTAAATGTTCATGCACTAAGACTAGTATGTACTGTGAAAGATAAATGATTTTTCTAACTTTGATAAGTAACGCGTATTTCACATACGCAACCTACTGATCGTTAGTACAAAGATAAAGAGATAAACTAAAGCTCTCACTAAATTACGGTGTAAACTTTAGTAAGTGTTTTTTTATCTAACAGGGTTATCGAGATCCACTAAAAGAAAATAAAAATTCACGTAAATAAACGTCTAGACAAAAAAAGCGAAATGCCTGTTTCACCTTGAGTGTAGTAATGAAATATCACCACTTGATACGTAGTTAACCAAATTATACAGAGTGAAATGTAAAAGGAAAAACACTAACTTCAGCAAAAATAAAAATGAGGCGCATATGCTATTAGTGATTACTAACCATAGGCATAATTTAAAAAGAAAACAGAACGAACGTTAGTTTTTTCTCTGCTCAATTTCGGTTTATCGAGGATACAAATGAAAACAATGAACGAATATTTACGTGGAAAGATTTTAAATGGTTCCTCAGCGTAAGATGCAACCTTTAAAAGAAAACTTTACCAGTAAAAACCGTAAAACATCCATTTGAGGGATCTAATGTGAAACAAAGTTGGCAACAAACAGACATAAACTTCATGTCTTTTATGGTTAATCGATAAAAATTACGAGTATCGTGAGATCTCCAGCAAGAAAGTCTGCATCTAAAACTATGATCGGGCCATCATTCATATCATTCATATGTTCAAAGATTGATCCTGTGTGTTAATTTAATCACTCGTGACCTGTCCTCTGATCAACCTTCTATCTCAATTTGTATAGCATTCTGGAGTGCACAGAAACAGCATACATAAGAAATGTTTCAACCAACTTATTCAATGAAGATTCACATTTTTATTAGTTAATTTACTCTTTATATTCAGTTTTTAGCACCAAACATCAGAAACCTATGGAAAACCAGATGGTCTCAGATAACTGTTCCATTTTAAATAGGAAACCCTTAGCAATGAACAACCTCTCTGTAAGCAGGATGAGATCCAACCACCAAGCTAGGATCCAGAATTAAACATTTTCTGTGACGAGTGGGAACGTTAACCGTTTACTTAAAAGTGTGTCTAAATCTGTTAAGAGTGAATTATTGGTTTCCTAATAATTAAATGTATCATCAAATGTATTTCCGTAGATCCCAACTCATACTTTTAGAATGATATTGGATTACTATGAATAAAATGATGTTCCGATATACAGGTTATGCGTACTTAGTCGGCTACAACGTAGGACCAAGTACATATATGCATCGGTCCAATTTGCCATACCTCATCAGCACAACAAGATGAACACCGAATTCATAGAAGTAGTTGATTCAATTGCATTAATGTATGAAAAAAAGATTGTGTATAAGGATATAGTACAGAAAGAAAGAATTAGTTGGTAAAAAGAAAGATATGAAGCGATTTTAGTCTCACAGTTTAAGGGAAAACAGAGAGTGTAGACACCGACGCCATTGTGATCGATTCTGAGTCATGTCATCCAGAGTCTCCAACCAATGGTTACGATAGTCACGCTGACCCCAACCAAATACTCTGGATCTATCAACACGGCTCAGACCAGAAGTTAGTGACTTCAAGCACTGATGGCAAGCATTGAGCGCCGTGGTAGTCGGCGTTCAGGCATACGCAACAAGTGGCCAAACTATCTCAGTAGATGAAGATTTACAACCTCATCAACTGATTTACCATCATACCATAATACCCTGCATCTAACCTCACTATTACGAGTATCTTCTACACTTAATGGTCACGTTTCACAGCTGCACAGTATACTCGTCCCTCAATTGATAGATGGATATCTCGCCTTCCCCATAGGTGACGTAAGTTAGCAAACGCTAAACGAGCTTTTCGAATTCGTGCTGAGATTTCGTCTGACACCAACCCATTTGGGCTGAACAGACTTCCAAAATAAGTGAAGTTGTCGACGCATTCGACTGCTTAACTCCTCATTCTTAGTTCAGGTGTTGACGCAGGTCAGTCCTGAAGCAACAACTTGCATTCAGAAGGAGAGAAGCTCATTCCAAACATCCTGGCATTGCTGCTCAATACTAACAAAAGACTCTGCATTTTATCTGCGTCTTCACCAAACAGGACTATTTCATCTGCGAATTCTAAACCGATGAGTGGACCTCCTGGTTGAAGCTGAATGCCTGGGAATCCAGTCGACGAGAACGTCATTTCCACCAGTAAGTCTACGATGAAGTTGAACGAAAATGGAGATAGTGGACAGTCTTGACGGACACCACTTGAGGCCGCAAAATCAGATGACAGTTCGCCATAAGCTCTGACTCGAGTAGTAGTGTTCGAGTAAAGAGCCTTCACAAGGTTTATGTACTTCTGTGGTACACCTTTCAATGACAGACACTGCCACAGAATCTCTCGGTCGACAGAGTCAAATGCTTATTTTAACTCAAGAAGGACTACCATTGTCGGACGCCGTTAAGCATGCCTATGTTCTAGACCCAACGAATGGTAAATATATGTGGCCGATACAGCCACGACCGGGTCTGAAGCTAATCAGATAGTTTCTGAATTTGATGCGTTAAAATAACATATTAATTGTCGATGAATGCCGATATTTGGAAAAGTGAGATATACGTCATATCTACTCCTCATAATTCACAAATACATTAGATGCCATGGAACCAGATTCAGACAATGATTTTAGTTAAAATTCTATGCAGTTGTAGTTGTTGCAATACGGGAGTACCGCCAACTCAGTAAAATACTCGCCGTATGTGGACTATCAAAAAATGGTTAGTATTTACGTCAATGATGTAATGTTAGACCCAAGGAAAACCACGATAGCTGCTCAAAAATGCGACTATTCCTAGTTGAAAAGTATAGCATGCGACCACGGATAATATTTTAGCTTTAAAGTACCAAATAATAAGTTTTGGTACATTCAGTTAAACGGTACGTCTTTTGGATATTTGAAATTATTGAGATGAATGTTAAGATTTTAATTTAAACAAACACTATATCGTTTCGATTAGCAACATGTCAGATTATCTAAGTTGTTTGATAAGCCTGTAGTGTGTGCGTTTTTCATGAAAATACGGTCATTCAAAGTCTTGGTCTGTTAATAATAGCATTAATGGGCAAAACTGTTAATAAACCCGCAAGAAAATTGAACTTTTTATTTTTTATGTACAATTAATAAATAATAAACTAGAATTCACTCGTTTATTATCGTGATTGTGGTTTTGATGCTATGCTACATCAATGCTGTTTTACACAATAACACATTGTATACTACCAATGTGCATGTCATGCATATCTCCACAACCCGAATCATCTAAATTTACACAAGTTCAAATCTGTTTGGATCCAACACTTAGTGCATTTCATATAGTGATGCTATACGTATTGTTTGTATTGTTAGATGTTTTAATACAAACGTCAAGACAGTTCTACTGTAGGGAGTTGAAACTTGGAGAACTACTATAATAATCATTAAAAAGGTAGAGGTATCAGTAAACACCTGTCGACCCAAGATACTCCAGATCCGTTGGCCGGACACCATCAGAAGCAACCTACTGTGGCAGAGAACGAACCAGCTTTTAGCTGAAGAGAAAATTAGGCAAAGCCGCTGGAGGTGGATAGGCTACACATTGAGGAAATCATCAAAATGCATCACGAGGAAAGCCCCAACTTGGAATCCTTGTGGCACAAGGAAGAGAGGTAGACCAGGTAATACATTGCATCGAGAATTGGAGGCAAGCATGAAAAAAATGAATAGCACTTGGAAGTAACTTAAGAGGAGAGCGGAGGACAGAACTGGCTGGAGAATTATGATGGGTAGCCTTCGTCCCACTAGAGAAAACAGGCGTAAGTAACTGAGCAAACTCTGTACAATTTACTAGGACGTTAAAGGGCAAGATAAACTAATTACTTTACCGATAATATATTACATTTTTAAGTGTATTATCAAAATAAAAATAGGCTACGAATAAACTGATAGTTATAGGAAAACAAACATGTGTACAAGATTTACCTCAATCTTGGACAAACATTCCGGATATCCCGTTAAATCTTTAAGGTGAGTGTCACACTGACTCTGTTCATCATATAGATCTAGAAAAATGAATCAAGAGAAAGCGAACGGGCAAAATAAAGTTACGGTACACTTTAATACACGGTTTGCTTTCTTTCTTTAATTCCTAGCTACCTAATCTTTCTAATAAAACTGGGAGTCTACCTATTATTTCCTCACAGAATTGTTAACCTCCAACAGGTTCATCTATTGAAGACCTACCTGCACTTTTCGATGAGATGAAACTAAATGAAAACGTACAAGTTATAACCCTTTCTGCTTTCATGATAGTTCATAGTCCTACCTACTCTGATTCATATCTGGTAGACCTAACACTGATAAGAATATAAGGGTGAAAATCACACGAAATAAAAGCAGAATTCACCTAGATGGTCAATTTTGTTTTAATATGATTCTTTACTGTGAAATAAGAGGCAAACTGTTACCGAAAATCAGAAGAAACCACCCAACTTTCGAACAAATTACATATATTTAACCCCTAAAATGTCGAAATGTAAGCCGATTCACGAATGCTGTACGCCGAATGCATTGTCCATTCTAAACAGTCAATCAAATTTTAATCACTAACATGATAAACTTACATGTAATCATGGGGTAATAGTAAGTTACTGGAAAGCACTGTGTCAAATAAAAAACAAAATGAAGTTTTGATTTGATAAATTTTAATTAATTAGTTACGCTTTGCATCACATACCATATTTATTTAACTGTATATTATACGAGTCACCAAGAATCATTTTTTGAATGTTATCTAAAGCCCTGGTGTGTTTCTGCAAAAGGTTGGCAATATTAATCTATAAAACATGAAAGTAAACATAATCAATATTTCTCACAATACAACAAACCAAAATTATCAATATACGTTTTTATATTGTCATTTTATATTGGCAGGTAAATGTCTGAAGAAGAAACTGTAAGAACGGATGGATACTGTAGGAAACGAACTAAGCAAATCTTCAAATATGGATGAAGATTGAAGATATTATAGCACTTATTAGCTTAAAATACATTTTCCGTTATGATATTAATTGATGTAGGTGAGATACTCGACGAGTAACCAGAATGTTTGGAAGAGCTTTAATATGACAGGACAAAACGCCAAAATTTCTCCTTAAACTCATTGTGATTTTTGTTCACTACCTCTCCTGTACTTAATTCAATATGATGATCACTCAACGTCTTATTCAATTTATTTGCGGTGTGGTATCCTGATCATTATAAAAGTAATTTACTTCCATGTGATATCTATTTAAAATAATATTTTTTGTATTGATTCAATGCAAAATTCGTTCAAAATGACACATAGCTTGAAGCTTGGTAGGAACTTTAAGAAATTCGCTTATGAGTGATAATTGTTAGATAATCATTAATTGTAAGTAGAATGAACATAATAAATACATGTATTCATGTACAATTTGATATATATTTTGGAAGTCAAGCAAAGTTTTTCAGTGCCAAGTACCAATCATCTAAGCATTCTGTAGACGTTACAGATAGCAACATGAAAAATTTATAAATTGATTGTACTGAAGTTTAGAGGTTTTGACGGTTCATGTTTTTGCAATAAAGTAAATATTTTTTACAACTTTCCATATCACTAAGGGTCTGTTAACTTTTTGAGAACTTTGTGGTTTCTTCATTATGAGAATAATTTCTCACTCTGTCATTACACTGTCAAGTACGACATTAAAATGGAATTTGTTTCTAATTGAAGTTAGCCGTACAAAATACATACATTTCTTAGCCGGACTATGGTAATTAGATGGTAAAACCACATGACTAATCCCTAGATATATTTTATAACCGATAATTATTTTCCAGGTACAAATAGCCGTTGATTTTAAGTTTTCGAGTTTCATAATTGCTTTTGTCACCGAATGACTCAAATATCTTAAAGTTGATACAAAATTTTGTTTGAAAGCCTCAGCAACTAAATGTGTGTTCTTTATAAAATTATTGGATTTAGAAACTTTGATAATTAAACAATGCATTAAAGATAGAAAGTACATTGTACTTTTCAAGATATTTGTCACGATTACTTACCACCCAAAATGCTGTTAGTATAACAGTAAAGATAACAACGATGGACAAAATTCTATATTTTTCAAGACTTTTTTTCATCAGTCGGCTGTAGAAAAAGTGATTTGCCATCATGAAATGAGACTATTTCAGAAACCTGAAGACATAAAAGCACTCCTAAGTAAAAGTAGTAAGTTCAAATAAAATGTAAACTGTTTTTTGATCAGCAATAAATGAGTGATTGGCAAAATTATTAAGTCATTTAACAATAGTTAGTCGGTTTGAATGACCACATATCTGTAGCAGCAAACAAATCCCAAAAGTAGATAATTCTGTAGATAGTCGACAGTGATGCTGACTTGATAAGTTTTACCGGACGCAGCCTAGTTTGGTCAAGCATCTGCACCAGATCACGTTGAGCCTGCCGTGCTAACCATCACCTACAACAACTCGTCAGTTTAGCTTACGTACTTCTCAACACATCGACTATCTTCCAAGCATGTCTTCCAACTCCGTCACTCCTGACTTCTAGTTTGACGGGGTTTGTGAACCTTGATTACAAAGTTGTTATGGACAACAGCGTTGTCAAGCTCTGAAATATCCGTGACGCTTTAAAATTTTTAAACCAAACAAACACTTTCTAAAATTTGAGCTAAAACTGCGAAAATGAAGATTTTAAAAATCAGACCAGTTATATGCGGTGCCTTGCATTAGAGAAACATCTTACAATGTGCGTCCAAATAATTAATTAGTGTATCTTGAAAAGTGTATCGTTTAAAAAAATAGTAAAATAACGTTTCAAGCTAGAAAAAGCTTCATACGAATATTCTTCGTGAGACAAATTGTATCTAGACAATTAACACTTACTCGGCAATAAAATCTGGGATTAGAAAACTAGTTACAAAATAGCCCATGGAGAACTTCGAGATATCACTTTTTAAAAAAAAACTTATATGCTAAAACCTTATAAATGATATTGTTCCGAACACCAACAATACGCTAGTCTCCAGATTTCTGAGAACAATACTTACTAATGAGTAGAATGAGCTTTTTAAAGTATACAGGCAAAACTAATTATTTATAATCCTAAAGCGACTATCGAAAGTGTTGAGCGACAATTTACTACAAATAAAAGTACACAAACCATGTAAGCATGGAGATATAAGGCGTTACAAAATGGATAAATATTCTCACTTTTAAGGACTGTTAAATATTTTGACCGCCAAGTCATTAGATTATGTACTAAAACTACTCATAAAAATACTCAGATGCACAAATGTTTTGATTTTGTCTTAGAACCAGCCTATCATGATTGTTGAGAAAACAGTTATACACAAGTCCCACCAAACGTTTTTTCAAAAAATCACTGTGAACCATAAATCATACGCTGGCTAGTGGTAAATACCAAGTGATTAATCTGAATTTGAATGAATTGTCCGCCATCCTGTAGCAAAATTAAACCCTTTGTATAATCAAATTCAAAGAAGCACTGTGTATCAAACATAGTGTGATTACTTATAGATTAAGCCATATATAAATTTGAGAAATAACTAACACACACAATGTACAAGTGAATATCTTATGTGTCGTTCAGTTATAGTAATAAAATACAATTTCATACTGTGTACTTTGAATCCAAGTTCTTATGTGTGTTATTCCTGAGATATAAACTTATTGAGATTAGTAGCATTGTAATAAACGAGATTACAGTTTGGGAACTGAAAATGCATTTAAATACAATATTACGGAATCTTTTAGTAAAAGATGAGAATCATACACTGAACACTTCATTTGCAAGTTTCCATAATATTTCCACCACCTTATATATCTGAGTACTTACCAGGGTTAATGAACGATATCAGTAATATATGTAAACCCTCTCAAAAGAATAGGACTAACGGTTCTTTTCAGTCTGATCAATGACTTGTTGCTTATATCTTCAGCAGTGCTTCAAACTACACCAATCAACGAAATACATTCAAATAGTTGGCGGCATTCACGACACGTGTATTAAACATCCAGGGTGATTTGTGATATTTACTTAGAACTCTATAACCAGCATCACTATTGTTTAGTTAATCGTCCCACTATACCTTAGCACATAGGTGAATCTCCACGTGTTGACACATTAAAAAGTAAAGTGGATAAATCTATAGACCTAAATCACCGGAATTATTACAAACCATTCAGAACTCATATTCTCTAATTGCAAACTATAATATAAGTCGGTTATGTGTCACAGACGCTATGATCAAATATGAGAGTTATGAGCAAGAATGTTTTCAGCATTGGTGGCATGGTTAGATAGGTGGTCACTAGAAGTAAATCCAAATAAGAGTGTAGTGATGCAGTTAAATAACTCTGATGAATCGTATGACTATACACTACGTGGATTCGTGCTACCCAAAGTAAGAAACTATAAAGATCTAGGAGTCATATTAAGCAATGATCTCGAAACGACTAGTCACTGTAAGGCTGCTGCTGCAAAAGGCTATAGGGTATTATGGTCAATTTGTAGGTCTTTCCAGTATTTAGATGATGAAATGTTTAGATTACTATACCCGATTTATGTGCGACCACATTTAGAATACGGGATTCAAGCAGCGTGTCCTTGTTTCAAATATGAAGCAGATATGCTAGAAAGAGTCCAACGACGAGCTACTAAGATGGTACAAGGTCTATCTGGCCTATCTTATGAAGACAGAGTGAGACACCTTAACTTATTTCCGTTATCTTACCGTAGAATAAGGGGTGATCTAATATTAGCCTATCGTATACTGAACGATGACCTTGGTATTAACATGTCTTATCTTTTGCTTCCGTCTAGGACTGATCATTTGAGAGGACATTCGAAGAAAGTTCAAAAACCGAGATCAAACCGTTTACGTTTGGAGTTCCGTTTCTCGCACCGAGTAGTGAATTACTGGAATTCTCTACCGGAACACGTAATATGAGCACCATCTGTTAATATATTCAAAACGAGATTGGATCTCCATAGTATTACAAACTGCAAGGATTAATATAGGTCGACAGACCTCCTATCCTTATTACTGAAGACTGAAGACTGAAGTGAGACTCCTGATTTTTATTTGATTACACAAAGCTGAGGCGTAATGTTAACTCCTAATACCCAGTGACTTAAGTACCCACAACCTATCTCCTGCCAAACAATAGGAACTCAAGGGCTGACGACAAAAATCTGTATAACAGTATATATCATGCGTAACAGGGTAAATAGTCAGATCAAAGCGAAAGCACAAGCTTCAAACAAAGAAATAAGGCAGTACCTATCCAAATGACCCGTGAGTAGAACAAATAATGTCATCGAATGATCAGCCTAAATGTTTCTGAACACTTGAAATACGGTCGATTCTACTTAAAAAATGTTTTGTTGAAATGTATACTAAAATCCCGTTAAAATAGGTTTGTTATTTTGAAAATAATAAAATAAAAAATTCACCGAACTCAACCCACGGATTCAAAATTACAGATAGTGTACTATAAGAGGTGATGGAGCATTATGAATAATAAACCCCCGAAAACTTATAAATTGTTTAAAATAAGCGCTAGAAACTAAACGATTAGAAGCACACGAATGTGTGGTAAAGTAAAAGTAAAGTGTAAAGAGCTTCAAAAATGCAGCTAACACACAGTGATATATTATCTGATCAGCCTTGAGTAATCAAAAGCGAAGAAAAACAACTAAGAAGGTGGGGAAACATCTTTGAATGAAGTCCTAGGTTCAAATTGTTCAAATGGTTGTGGACGGAATGGAAGAAGCTTTCGCTTAACGGGCTTCCGTGTCTTCCATGAGCCAGCCGCAGCGTATTGCCAATCCACGTATTTTCATGTTTGAACTGGCTAAGGGCACGTCTTCTATTTAAATATTATTTGTGTAAACTTCTGTAAGTGGACGCAGTACTATTCTTGGCCTGTACAAACTCAAACATTGATTTATACACTTGTTTGGCTATCAGTTGAAACGCACACTTCCTGCACTTTACAAAGTTGATCCTTAAATCAATCAGTTTTCTATAAACCATACTACCTTTTTACAAGCGTTGCATCTATATCGCCTAGATTTGCGTCTAGTTCGAATGTATCTTTGATGTTGGAGGCGTGTGATGAGCCGTTTGCGCAAGACCTGTGTGAAAAAAGAGAAGAAAAAGAAGTTTTCGAAGTGGTTCTGCACGGAATAGAAGAGGTTTTCTCTTGACAGGCTTCCGTATCTAAAGACAGTGGGTCATCGACGCCTTCAGGTGAATACCTAGGCACATTTAACGATAGAAGAGGAAAATCTTAAATTATAACTAGGTACTGTTTTTAGTCTTTAAGAACATGTCAAGTTTTATCTTAAAAGAAATCACTTTGACTAGTTTAGCCAGCAGTAAATTCCATCATTTGACTACTTTTAATGAGTAGGTGTGCTTACTTTTATTTTGCAACGTTTCATCTCCGGTTTCTGGACGTTACTCCTAAGATATGTGTTGAAACTGAGATTAAGTTGGTATTTAAGGGAATGCCCAGAAATGTTGAGGATTCTGTAAGTCATTAGAAGGTCACTTTCAAGATGCCTGTGCACTTGTGAACAGAGGTTCGGTGAGTCGAGGCGCTATTCCTAAGGATTGAAGTGGAGTCCTCGAACGAATTTCGTGGCCCACCGTTGAGTGTGTTCTAATGTATCCTTGTCCTTTAGGAGTGAAGGAGGAAACACTATGTTTCAATACTCTAAATATGGTCTAATAAAACTATTGAAGATTGGGTGGAAACTGCTACCGTCAAACTGGCCAGCTATGAGCTTCAACGTTTCCAGCGTAAGATCCTCCAAGAAGGCGTTTTTGTCTCAGTTATCATAAAACATCGGGTCATAGGGTACCAACACTCCTAGATCTTCTTTAACTTGGGATAACTCTAGATGGGATCACCTAAGTTGTACTCATAGTCTGCAACATGTCTCAGATGGACTAGCCAAGGATAAAGCTTCATCTCCCAGTACGGCAAAACGAGTCACATCCGAGTAAAGTGGAATTGTCCGTATTTCGATGCTGCACATTTTGATACACAAAATCACCACTCATGATCACTTCTGAGGGTCCGTTTGAGCCAAAAAGACGCTTTCGTCAATTAGGTTCGTA